CGGGAAGTTGAGGTCCATCTTCGGCCTCCCGGCACGCCACACCGCCACGTCGTAGGCACGTGCGTCCTCGTGGACGGCGGGGTCGGTGTCGAGCCAAAAGCGGCGGCCGACATCATTGAACTCCACCATGAAGTAGCCGGAGGGCTTCGCCCTCACACCGAAGAACCTTGTCTTGCCCTACCGGGTCTTCCTTGGCGGCATGGCGACGGCGGGGCGGGACGGCCGAACCGCGATGGTCGAATTGGGTCAGCGGCGGCTAAAGGCAGCGACGGTGGTTGTGGGACTGGGCGGTGGTGCTTGGCGGTCGAATCGGGCGGCGATGGCGGTGTGGTGGGCGGCCGGCCGGCCGAATTGGGCGGCGGCATGGCGGGGGCAAATGCGACGGATTCTCAGCGTGTGGGCGGGGCGGCGGTGTGGTGATGGCTAGGCGGAGGCTTGGCGGCCAGGTGATGGCTACGGCGACGGCGGACACAGCGACGGCAGCGGTGGTGGAGGAAAACGCCCGATTCGCGGCGTGCGGCGGAGGCCGGTAGCCGAAACGCATCGAAACCGGCTGCGGGGGTGGTGGAGAGGCTGGATCTGGCGCGGACCGGCAGCGGCCCGGTGCGGTGGGTGGGCGGGCGGCGACGGCAGTGTGGCGCAGTGACAGTAAGAAGGCAAAGTGGGTTGGCGGTTGGCGCACGACCGGCGTTTTTACATCTCCTATAGGTTGGGATGCAATTTTGCATAGTGAGGTATTGTAGTTTACATCTCCGGAAGGCGGAGGTGTAAAAAGAATTGCATCGACACCATCTGTTGGAGAGGTGTTCTTGGTCCAAATTTATTGATTCGACACAAGGGGAGCCAAAGAGTATTTATAAGCCTTAGCAGTTGAGTTGTCAATTCAACCACACGTGAGAAGTTATTTTTCTACAACAAAAATATTATTAGCACAGTAATATGATAGCTTGATAGTAGTGGTAGCAGTAGCAATAGTAATGATAACAGTTTTGTAGTAGTTGGACCAACAATAGTAACTTAGCAAAGACAATATGAGCAAAGCGTAGGCATGAAGTAGCGATGGATATTTGGATGAGATTCATCATATAACAGTCACAACATAGAGCGATACACAATAGCTCCAATTCATCAATTAAATGTAGGCATGTATTTCGGATATAGTCATATGTACTTATAATAAGAACTTCCAGGGCATCTTTTGTCCTACCCTCCCGTGGTAGTGGGGTCCTAATGAAAATCTAAAAGTAATTAAGGCATCCTTTAAATAGAGAACCGGAACAAAGTATTAACAAATAGTGAATACATGAACTCCTCAAATTACAGTCATCCCGGAGAGTATCCCAATTATTGTCACCATGGGGTCTACGGTTCAGAATAATACCAGGTGCATATAACTTGCAGATAGGATCAAGAACTCAAATATATTCACGAAAACATAAAGGGTTCAGATTTGAAATCATGGGACTCGGGCCCTAATGACAAGCATTAAGCATAACAAAGTCATAGCAACATCAATCTCAAAACATAATGGATACTAGGATCAAGCCCTAACAAATTGACTTGCATGACAAATCCCATCCATCTCCATCTATCTCGAGTATGCCAATGATGAAATTACTCACTCCCGGTGGTGAGCATCATGAGGTTGTTGATGACGGTTGATACTTCTCCAACGTATCTATAATTTATGAAGTATTCATGCCATATTTACAATAATTTTATATGGTTTTGGTATGATGTGCATGGAACTAACCCGGACTGACGCTGTTTTCAGCAGAACTACCGTGGTGGTGTTTGTTGTGCAGAAATGGAAGTTCTCCACATGAGCTGAAACTTTTTGACGATTTTTTTGAAACAAAAGAGGCACTGGAAGCTTCGTGGGAGGGCCAGAAGAGCCACGAGGTGGGCCTAACCCACCAGGGCGTGCCTGGAACCCAACCAGTGTGCATGTGTATCGTGCTCACCTCGAGGCCCATCTTCGCGTGAAACCGACGCCAAAAAATCCTATAAATAGAGAAACCATCAGAAATAACCATAGATCAGAAGTTCTGCCGTCGCAAGCCTCAGTAGCCACAAAAAACAATCTAGACCTTGTTCTGGCACCCTACCGGAGGGGGAAATCATCACCGGTGGCTATCTTCATCATACCGGCGGCCACCATGATGAGGAGGGAGTAGTCCACCCTCGGGGCTGACAGTTTGTACCAGTAGCTATGTGTTTAATCTCTCTCTCTCTCATGTTCTTGGGATGTCACGATCTTGATGTATCGCGGGCTTTGTTAATATAGTTGGATCATATGGTGTTTTCTCCTCTCTATCTTGTTGTGAATTGAGTTTTTCCTTTGAGATTTCGTTGTTATCGGATTAAATACTTTTATGGATTTGAGAGCACTTGATGTATCTGTTGCTATGGATACCCGTGGTGACAATGGGGTATCATATTGATTCACTTGATGTGCATTTTGGCACTCAACTCACGGATCCCCGAGGTGACATTGGGGTTATCTATGCATAGGGGTTGATGCATGTTCTCGTCTTTGTTTCTCCGGTAGAAATCTTAGGGCACTCTTTGCGGTTCTTTCTGTTGGGTTGAGTATTATGAGTCTGAATTTGTTTTGGTGTTATGTTAGTACGAACTCTTGATAGATCGATCAGAAAAAATAACTTGGTGTTATTTTAGTATGAACTCTTGATAGATCGATCGGAAAGGATAACTTGGTGTTATTTTAGTACGAACTCTTGGATAGACCGATCGGAAAGAATAGTACAAACAATTTATTCTTATGTTCTCCGCTAGATAGGAACTTTGGAGTGATTCTTCATCGCACGTTGAGGGATGGTTATATGATCCAATTATATTAGCATTGTTGAGAGATTGCACTAGCGAAAGTACGGACCCTAGGCCTCATTTTTAAGCATTGCAATACCGTTTGTGCTCACTTTTGTTACTTATTACCTTGCTCTTTTTTATTGCTACTATTAGAAAAATCAATATCTACTATCATTACTACACTTGTATCACCATCTCTTTGCCGAACTAGTGTGCCTGTACAATTTACCATTGTATTTGGTGTGTTAGGGACACAAGGGACTCTTTGTTATTTGGTTGCAGGGTTGTTTGAGAGAGACCATCTTCATCATACGCCTCTCATGGATTGATAAACCTTAGGTCAACCACTTGAGGGAAAATTGCTACTGTCCTACAAAACTCCACACTTGGAGGCCCAACACGAGTCTACAAGAATAAAGTTTCGTAGTAGACATCAACATCGGCGATGATTTGCCCTCTCTGGAGCCCCGAACAGACTCCAGATTAGGCCTCCCAATGAAGAACATGAGGTGGGGACGGCTCCGTATCATAAAACGCGATGAAACTTTCTGTCCAAAAAATTTCTCGGGAAGACGGAACTTATGGACTTAGAGGTAGGGCAAACTAAGCATCGAGGGGCCCATAAGCTCAAGTGGCGGGACCTAGGGGCTCTGTGGTGGCCTCCCTCCAGTAGATCTTTTCGCCAGTATTTTTTATATATCTCGAAATGATTCTCTGTAAATTTTTGTCTGATTTCGAGAACTTTTTATTTCTGCACAAAAACAACACCAAGGTAGATCTGTTGAAAACAATGTTAGTCTAGGTTAGTTTCATTAAATAATGCAAATTAGAGTCCAAAGCAAGAGATAAGGTGTTTGGAAAAGTTGATACGTTGGAGACATATCAGTGCCACAGCTAAATCTGCTAAAAAAATGTGTTCGCTTCCCATCGTTTGGGAATGTTTGCCATGTAGGTTTTCCATTGAAATACATTAGTCTGTCCGATTAAGGTTACCCCATTGAAGATGCCCTAAGAGCATCTCGAGCAGATCCCAC